TGTCTTCGACGCAAGTAAATACTATAGGAACGGCCGCAGTGCTGAGGATGATGGGGTGGCACCTGGGGAACCAACCGTGGGATGATTGGTGGTGGGAGTCGTATCGAGGTCTTTCGGAGTGGGGTCGTGAAATTTTCAAAAGCTGCACAACATATACGGTTGACCCTGAAAGAAGCTCACTATTCTTAGCAAATAAAGCTGTTTTTGAATCTAACACTCCTCCTCCTCACTATGGTGGAGTTTTTGAAACCGTATTGTCGTAAATAGTAGGTTGATGCAAGTTTTTGAAAACCCGTGCTGGAAATTTTGATTCTCAAGCTTTAGGCTGAGCTTGAGGAGCAATTGAATTTTCTACGGGAAAGAGCAATAGACGAATCAGCAGTGCGTTTTGTACAGAAAATGAGGTGAGCTTCCGACTTAGTTCTTCGTTTCTTTTACTTTTTCAAAATGATTCTGTCTCAGTTGTACTGTGAAATTTGCCATTATGCAATGCTCAAGTGGAAAAAAAGTTGCTTCGTTAAAGATCAATATCGCAGTTGGGAAGAACAGCACCAGAGGAGCATCAAGGTGCCGGTACGAAGACCATTAATATGTTCAACAAGTTGCTCAGTCACAGCTCACGATTTGTGATGGAAGGAGTGAAGAATTTGGTTCCCAAGAAACACAATTTGCCTTTAACTAGGGTGAGTATTTCAAATGGTTGTTCTTGGCGGAATTTTCATTTCATTTTCTATGTTTTTTCTCCTTCTCTCCTTTCTGCTTTCGTGCATGTCTTCTTTTTTTTTCCTTCAACCCTGAATTACTGATTTCATGCACTTTCTGATTACCAGCTTTCGGTTCATATTCTGTTGGATGGCAGCAGAGCATCCATCAAATGTAAGAACTGATGTAGACCCCAGTTCATTCCAATTTTTTGCGGCATATGATTTCCATAGTGTGTAATAGCGTTCATTCTTTGTTGTTTTATCTAGATCTGGCAACGTTCTCTTCTAGATATATTGACTTATTTGAGCGCTCTTCTATTAGAAGGGTTTTACCTCCTAGACTTGCCAAAGTAC